GAATTTAAACTCCCAATTTGGCAATAACTTCCCTGTTGGGAATTTCTCAMCTGTTTCCATTTACTTTCTTCCAGACGAGGAACTTTGCTCAGGTAACTCTGAAAATAAAGCGGAGACTGATGAACCTAAGGTAGCCTCGTCTTGGGTTGCCATTGGGTTGCCATTGGGTTGCCATTGGGTTGCCATATCTCTGCTCCTGCACAATGGTCCATCTTCGCAGAGGTCCCTCTCTCCTTTCTTTCACATGGCTGCTTGCCTTGGTTGTAAAGCTGTTCCTTGCACTGTGACTTGGCCGTGCTTCAAAATGCCACTGCTGTATCATCACCAGCTGATCTCCAAGGTGTAACCTGCATGGGAGAATTAAGCAAAATCCCAACGAGGCTAATAGAGAGCCTGTGCAGCCCTACAACAGGCAGGACAGCAGCAGGAGGCTCTGGTATTTCGGGGTCTCAGCTCYGCTGTGCAAAGCAGCTTACGAACAGCACATCAGAGCCAGAGCCTGGATTAGAGGCAAAACCGGCTCCYGCCTCTCAGAAATCTCTGCGCAGCAGCTCAAAGCGCTCACTCAACAGCTCAGGAAATGCCCTCGTCTCTCAGAGAGCGTTTGGACTCTTAATCCCAGCTCCAGCCTGTTACCAGCTCCGTGGCTCGCTATTGCAGTTTGAAGCYGTGCCAAGTTTATTATATTGAATTCTGGAGCACAGAGCAACCAAGCGCAGACCAACAAATGCTGCRGTTGGGAGGAAGGCCGGTCCAACCGCCCACATAAGGCAGAGCTCACTGAGCCAAGGCTGTGAGCAGGGATCCAGACGCAGCTCTACAACCCGGGAGGTGTGGAGTCAGGTTCTCCTTTGCATTTCTCAAACAGGAACTCGTCTGTCATCATTGGTGGTTTTGGTGCCGCTGTTCAGTGATGTGTGTTTTCAAGATGGTATTGGGCTGTACTAGGGCAAAGTTTTTACCTTGATCAAGTAGAAATAGGTGTCAAAAGGAAGAGCAGTGCRCTTGCTGCGGAGTGGATTGGCAAAGGACACAGAAAACAGGTGAGGTACTGCATGCCTTCTTCATCTCAGTCTTTAAATCTCAGGAAACTTAGGTCACAGAGACCAGGGGTAAAGTCTGGAGAAAGGAAAACTTTTCCTCGGAGATAGCCAAAAGTCACCTGGAAGAAACAAAGTGTCATAGAGGCACAGCACTCTGGTGGAAGCCCATCAAAGCCTGTCTTCAAAAAGGACATGCTTGGAGAGATCTCATTGTTCCACTGCAGATCTACAGCTCCAAAGAGGGCAGATCTACTTATCTTGTATCCCAGCGGTGGCATAAATATCTGCCTTCCCAAGGGAGCGGAGATATTGAGAGCAGATAGCACTAATGATACCAATTTCAGTTGAAAGAGGCAGGCCCAAGGGAGAAAATGTTCAGCTCTATGCCTCATCTGGAACAAGGATCCACACCCATGTCGTCACCTGAGGACTGTTCAGTTAGAAGAAATTTTGTTCATTGGGCAGCAGTCCAAATGAATATGTCAGCTAGGAATGCTGTGTGCCCTCAYGACACGTCTCCCCCTGCCCCTAAAGGACCCTGGATTTCCAAACTACTAAGGCAATTATGGTTTTGTTCAGGACAGGAATCATCTCGCTACAAGGCTACCTGATCTTGTCCTCTCAGGAACAACAGCTCTTCCAAACAGAGAAAAGCTTTTCACAAAGAGCAGCCCATTGCACCTACACCATGCACCATACTTAGCCTGTAAATTTGCATGGACCCCAAACCTGTTTTTCCAATGCTGCTCAACTAAGACATCTTGATGCATACGTCCTGGTGACAATTGATTCTACTCCACTGACTTAACATTAGCAGGGTCCTTGAAGAGTGAGAGATCAGGTCATGGCATATGTTGAGAAGCAGTGGCCAATTGTATTCGCCTCTTCCCAGATGAAGGCCTGTGCCTGATCCTCTACTGTCTGCTGGCTTCAGTGAGCATGTCCCAGTGACACGAGGGTCTACATGGAGAAACCCCAGGATTTGCTCAGAAGAATTCTATTGACAGATCCTACCAACCCCTGCTGCCATCACTTATTKTTCTGCTGTTTGGCCAGGATGTAAATTCCTTCCTGTCAAAAATATACATCTGATACAGGCCTTTGGTGGAAGAGTAGGTAATGAGAAAGAATTGCTGCTAGACAATTAGGAGTTAGGAGATCAACGAAATATAAAAAGCAGTAACTGCACTTGACGCAGAGCAGGAGGCCAGGGGTCAGTCCTGCTGAAATGATATTCAATGGGTATCTGTCAGCTAATCAAAACTCACATCCATCTGGCTAAACATGAGATTGGCCACATGAGTTTGAATATGGATGTATCMAAACCCCGGGATCAACTCATAGACAAAATGGAGAAAAAAGAGGGCTTGGTAACCACTAATAGGGATGTGACCCCAACCTGTCCTCCCCCTCCAGGACATCTTTACCAGCCAGGTTCCCATCAGTACGAGTTTAACTGATAGAAGCACAACGGTGAAACTAAGCAAAGATATAATTTCCTACTGAAGTCTGATTACAAAACTTGCAGTTACTTCCAATTGTTGAATTATAGCTAACATTTTTCCTCATTTGTCAACTGCAGCTAATAATTCTTCTTTACTAATTGACTAAGAAATACTGTAAAGGAAATATGAATARTAGTTGTCTAAATCAGTCTGGAAGGAAGTTATAAGAAAGAGCATTTTGAAATGGAGAATGAGGGGAAAAGTCAGCCTTTGAGAGTCATTGTGACTCAAATTKGATCAAGATTCTGGGCTCAAAATCTCTGAAAGTTTGCCTTCTTCATTATCAGATATTTTGAGATAAGTTTTTTAAATAAAAAACAGGATAAAAGAAAGATTTTGAGCCAACCAAAGCTGTAAGACTTCTGGAAGGATGAAGTCAGAGGCCTTTACTCATATTTGTATGTCATTTATGGTATCCAAGTCTTCTTCTGATTGATAGAAGAAAACTCTACCACAGTTGAAGCATCATTGCTCTTTGACTTCAAAGGCTCCTATTTGCCAGGCTGTCAAAGGAACAAGGCAGAGTTACAGTTAGAGGTATCTCAAATTTTGCACGCCCCACACTCTTGAATTAATCCTTATTTGTATTTTCAGGGGCTTGGTTCTCTTCCATTCAAAACTGAATGGGGCAGGAGTCAGCAGCACTTGTCAGGGTGGTTGTGGCACAGCCAAGATCCCTCAGGATGGAGATGTCCCACCTTCCTCATGACCTGTTCCCCAGGACTGCTCCCCTTCCAGAGGAAGAAATGCTTGTTCATATCCAACCCCTCGAGCTGCAGTCTATGACTGTTGCTCCTCATTATGTCCTGTCACTGCTATGGCCATGTTTACATCCCATATAATGAGTATATATATAACATGCAGGTGAGTGTATGGCAGGAGACAGGCCAGGAGGCTTCCAGGCAACAACAACTCTTGCTAAAACACACCCAAAAATCTTATCCACCCCTACCCTTAGAAATCAAATTGGGATATTGCAGCTATCTTCACCCTGACATTGGACTCTGTGGACTTGATATGACYTAATGGTTACCTGCAGTTATGGGATTTTGCTCCTGATGCTGCTCTTGTGACACTGCCAACCAAATCCTTAGACACTGCAAGAATATCTTGGGATATTCTGCTGCAAAGTCGGCTGGTTGTTTAATTCCTTAGCCTAACAGCAACTGTCCTCTGCCTAAAATGGGTCCCCAGACACCACACCATGGCTCGCACAGATGACARCCAAGGTTGATCTGACTGACACAGCAGCACCTTCTAGGGGAACTAATGACTTGACTAATCAAGCCAGAGTAGCAAATTCCTCACCAGATTAGCCTTCTTCCATAACCACGTGGCATTTCTTGGTTATTGTTATTATTATTCTTAGGATTCAGGATGGATCATCACAGTTTTAAACACAAGCACTTGAGGGAAAGAAYAAAAAGTGAATAAAATCAGGCAGCATCATAAAATGTCCTTCAAAGACAGTTTTAAATCTTACTTAAGCTCTAAAGCTTTTAGTGGCACTTAAAATAATGCATTAGAAATAGCCACATAAAGTAGTAAACGATGCCATTTGGCTGCAGTGAATATTGCATGTCAGAACTTTGTGAAAYGCAGGGGCTCAGGAAAGAGTCTGAATTGTACCCTTTTAAACGATACATGGCTAAAATTTTGTCTGCTGAGAATAAGGTTTTGTTACGTCCAGTGCTGTGCTACAGAGAGGTGCTCAGACGTGTTAAATACCTTACTGACAATTAAAGAAGAAGGGCAAATTAAAGTCAATTTTAGAATCTATAAATGATTTCTTGGTTAATTGCTGATCAATTTAAAAATGGACTCCACAGAAACACAGTTTAGCAGCTTACAAATGGCCCAAACTCCGACCAGTAGTATTTTCAATACAATTACACTTGCTTTTAAAATCTTCTAGGAATTCAAATCAAATTCACTCATCTCCACGAGTTTTGTGCTTCTTCAAGTCAGACTGTTCTCCTTGATATCATTTTCATGGGCTCTAAAAGCATCAGCAGATCCAGCAAGACTCCTGGAGCTCCATGTTTCTGACAACCATGGCACAGATGCAAGTGTCAAAGGCTGGATGTGGCCATCAGTATCTCTCATAAGGACTTAGACTTCCTTGCTGCAACTAGTAGGGTGAGAACTGCTGATCTGAACAAGGGCTCTGGGCAAAGATCAAGGATTAAGTGTTTACTGGTCAGCAAATGAATGTGAACAATTGAAGAGGCAGCAGTACCCCTCACAGCTTGTAACACTTGATGAAGTGAGTGAGTGCCATGAGTAGGAAGAAAGCTTTCAAGAAAGGTGTCTTTCCAGCAAAGTATTCACTCATACCACAAATTGTAGAAAATTCAATTCAGTTCAATTCCATCCCCGTAATTATTACAATATCTCAATATATCTTCCTTTATTTATTTTTGCAAAACAGAAGCCCGTGATGTTAACACTGAACTAGAATTCAATCTAACATTGTAAAATTCRTCATAAATCCAGACTTTGTATAGCAGATGACTTTGAAATTGCTATAAATAAGACTTTACGGCTTCCGCAAGGCTCATGGCAGAATCTATACAGCCATCAAAGTTGGAATGAGTAAATCCATCACCCCCACAAATTAGGAGAGGTTCAGTATGAAGAATCATGTGTCCTGGACAATCGGGTACAGCCTTTGTAACCTRGAAAATAAAAGCATACAGGAGGAAGAAAAAGTAAGTATTTGTCTGAATTTCATGCCAGAAAAACAAAACTTTYCCTGACAGATACACCTTCATAAGAAGCACCCTCTAGCCCAAATCTTAGGTTGTAGCATTAGTGATCAAAGTACCATAGYCAACTCTTTATCCACCAAGTTTAAATCATTAGAATAAACTTTTCCTGCAGGTGGAAAGTTAGAAAGTTTATAGTCCTACCCAGGACTTATTCCCAGACAAATTTCTGTAGAAATTAAGATAGTTCACGGAGAGGTTAATCTTACATAACCTGAGTCCAGGATTTTGAGAACAGATGACCTCTGGCTGGTAAAGGTGGGCTTGCATAAGCTCTTAGGCATTTCACTGAGGAGCAGAATTGCATACTCAAGAGGGCAGAGACAAAACAGAAGCCTCTAATACAGCCAATACTTCAGGCTTCCAAAGATGTCTGTGAAACCAGAAACACCAATTTGGTATCAATGATACAGAAGTTTAMCAGATCATCAAACGTGTTCTCTGCTTCCACTCCCTATAGGCTACAGTGAATAGCCTCTTCAGTGCCATGTTTTAAGTACACAAATGTTTTTTCCCTCAATCTGCCAGGTCTGAGGTCCTCCCTTGGCAGATGCAGATCATGACTGGTGATGCAACCCAAGGCACATTGAATGAAAATGATTTCTCTGATTTCATCCCTCTCCCCTACCACGTAATTTGTCAAAAGTTGGTGTTTTAYGTGCTAAACTGTGAAATGGGACTTGAAAATATATTAAATGCCAAGAAAGCTACTGCTTCAAAGAAATATTTATACCTCTTTCAATGTTTGATGGTCACCTCAAACTCATTAAGACATTCATTCCACTCTTGGTCAAAATCATGACCCACAAACTTCATGACCTGACTTGTCRTTAGCACACTCTAAGTAAACAGAAATCCTGAAGCGTTCAGCTACCCTCTTTCCCTAGGTTTTGTCTTTGTCTGCTTTCTTTCAAGCTGAATTAGCTGARGCCTTGCTGACCTTCATCATCTGAGACTACAGCTGTGGTTAAGTCTGTAAATACCTATAACGCACTTCAATAAATGATGACAAAACTGTAGAAGGAAGACAAAGATATTTAATCCAAACAAACCAAGTCCTCTGTCTCCAAACTCATAAAAGTGGGCAGGGGAACCACGCACCACCGACACTGTGGTGGAAATCATGCAAAGGGAGGGATCATAAACAGCTTGGCTAGTTCTTGTGGTCCTACAAGTGCCACCACTGACGAGCACAGCAACAGAAAAACCCACTGGCTTTTCATTTTACTCCTGGTCTTACCCTTYGTACAACCCATCCTGTCTCCAGCTCTATCGCTCCGGTTTCCTTTTCTACTTGACCTGCAGGAACAGCCTTTTAGACACTGCTAGAGATACAATCAACATGTTCTATCTACAGATAGCATGTGGACAAGGTCTGATTAAGGCTGCCTTGATAAATATTTGATGTCAATCTCCGAATAGGCACTGTATTCATTTTAAATACAATTTTCTTGACTGCTGCCACACCATTATTTGGCATTTCCAAATACAGATCAACTATAAAACACCTACATTTATGTTACTGACTATATTTTATGTTACCAGCATGTTATCATCTTCTTTAAAGGAGGCAATCATCTGAAATGAATTTGTGATCAATTCTCCACCCTTTTTTTTTTTTTTAATGCAACAGTCTAGTGACTTTCTGTAAAACCTGGCAGAGATCTTGTTTCTCTGGCTCATTTTAGGTCAGCAGTTAATTTCTTCCTGATTTTTTTTTCAAGTAGATTGAGGTCACTAGGCATAAAAGATGAAGAAAGCTTTAGTAAAATGAGGCAAGGATGCCCTTCATTCTTGAATACCTTAAGATTATTTTACACTCCCTGTACAAAAGTTTCYGCTTTGTCCTCCTGATCCCAAGGACAATACTTTCATACTCCTTAGCCTGCACCATTCTGGCTGTTTGGCAATAAAGTGCATACTATACAGTAAAGGTCTTTGTTCTACATCCTGGTGAAAGGCATTCTGCTGTTCCTCTTTCCTATTCCTTTAAAGATGTGGTCCAACTTGCAGTCCAAATTACCTTCAGCTATGGGGCACAGCCTGCTGGATCTCCATCCGTGGAAGATTTCATCTAGACAAAGGTGGAGCTCACTGAGTCTTGGCAACAGCTCTGCTTTGATCAAGGGGACAGACATCTGAAGAGGTCCCTTTCCACCAATGTCTCTCTAATGCTGTATTTTCCCAACCTCCCTTCCCCACATGTAAATCCACTGTCAGAGTGACATGATAGGCTAGGAAGCTGCTGACTCTGGATGCTAATAGTGTCTTATCATAATTAAAGCAGGGGATACAGGACCACAGCTGTGCTGCTAAGTAGTGTCAGTAGAAGTTTGGAAGTCCTAATCCCTCATCCGCCATGGATAATTGTAATGTCTGCATTTTAATCCTGGGATTGTGTTTGGCCATACGAAGGACGCTGCAGCTGGATTTAATTAACAAGCAGGATAAATCCCGTCTAGAGGAGTCAGGGGAAAGATGCATCTATCTTATCAGTTCCCTTTGCCTCTGTGGCAACGGCTTATTGTAATTGAAAGTAAAGATGGCTTTAAGGGGAAGGGGGAGCTCTGTCCCAGATATTTAATTTAGCTAGTGATTATTTTATAGGATGCCCACCTGGCAAAAGAGATCTCCTTACTGGGATCACTGATCYGACCTACACCAATTCGCTTGCAAACTAAAACTTAGCCACATCCATTCACTGAGCTAGATGGGTGATAATTCTTCCTCCGACAATGCCATAAAGCACAAGCAGCTGCTGAAATCGGTTATTTTATTTAGTAGCAGCATGGCAGATAGCAGGCAACACAGGGAAGAACGACAGGAGAACCAAGTGGGAAGAGCTGCAACGGTGCTTTGGTGGCGGAGAAAATAAAAGCATCATTCAGGAGCATTACGTATGAACGTCATTTTTTCAATAGGGGAAACAGGACATATCTGTAATGATTTAGAGAGTTTACAAATGTGAAACATTTATGGAAAATTAAATTCATTCTTATAGTTCCAACTGCCTTTAAAAGACATAGCAATAGGTGTAACTCTACAATAAATCTCACTTGGTCCTCAAGAAAAACTGATTTTGCTAGGATTCAAAACCTGTAGCTGTTTAGTAGACTGCAAATGAGATGGTTTTTATTCAATAGTAAAAAAAAAAACCCCTTCCTTTCTTGTCTTTTCCTTTATCTATGTTTTCATGGTGAAATAAATTGGAAAAGGACRTGCTTATATGTCACTTTTATCACGGCGTTGAAACTATGTACAGTGCAAGGAAAGGGCACATTAATGCCAGCAAATAGCTGGATTTTATGCCAGAGCTCTGTGGTAGCAGCAGCACCCAMGGGTGCATTAATTTGCTTAAAAATTATTCCTCACTCAATTTTAGGGAGCTGGTTAGCCCAGTGTCCACCWGTGGATGGATCAAATCCTTAGGCTCCAGGCAACCTGTACCTCTCACRCTCACTTGCAGTTTGAAGCAGAAAGGTGATATGCAAGGCAGAAAAGAAGTCAGTATAAGAAAATGAAGAATTAACAGTGACTCTTCTACAAGGAGATATTGTTACTAACAAAAAGAACCACCAAACCGAAAGAGAGGAATCTATAAAACATCCCATCACTTTCATTTTCGAGGCATATAAAACATATGTTGAGATCATTTTTATACGACAACCAATTACAGCTTTTACGCGCTGGGAAGCGATTTGCAAGTTRTCAATATCTAATGCAGGGCAAAATAAACATTGTGCTAGCAAGGCCTGGTTCTTAAATTGGATGCAGATCAATGGGTATGAGTAAACTTTGTAACTAGCATTTACAATAACTTTTCCAGACTTCATAAAAGGAAAAAAAAAAAATTAAAGGGGACTGCTTTAAGTAAATATTTTGCATCAGCTTCCACATTCAATTTCACCAATGTAATTCAGCTTAAGAGGCTTTGGGTAAACATGTAGCTATTCTCCAGTACTTTAGGAAATTGCCAACAATTTCCTCGGATTTTTAAGAGAACTCGGTAAAATATACACATTTTGCTATTATTACCCTTAGGTAGTTTACTTTAAAATATTTTTCATGTAACATACTGTTAAATCGAACTTGGCCAAATCAAATCATAGCAATTGGCCTGTCTGAACACAAGCACTCTGCTACTCTGTGGTAGGGTGGGAATTTTGCTAATAATATCACATACTTTCGGATGCAGAAGAGACGGATTGAGTCATATTTTTAAATACCAACAAAAATCCCACTGAAGGACGTGGGATTTACTTCCTTCCTGCATGCTGCTGCTGTTCCTACTTATAAGGGGCACTGCATAACTTACCACTGAGACAGGTCCTCCATGTACAAAGATTACTAGAAATGACCTTGCTGTAGCTGGCGGGTTTTGGATGTTACCCACAGCTACGTGGATGAATGTGTCATAGATATTGAATAACTATCCCTTTTCTTTATTTCTCTGAGGATGAAGACCACTGGCTTGTATGAGGGTCTCTTTCATGTGAGACACCCTATAGATCTGGGTGTTCATGCACCATAGCACCATAGCGTTATCCAGGCAGTGTCCYTCAGGTGTCCAATGCCATTAAGGATTACCTGGGAATATCTCCATTTCTGGCACTTGACACTGGCTGGTTTAGGCAGAGACGGCACAAGGCTCTCCAGGTGACTGAGAATTAACTGCTGCACCTCCGCAGGATCTGAGTCCAGGTGATCGTGCCCAAATGCCACAGTGGTGTGAACGACGACAGATGGTCCAATTTCAGGAGACTCTGAAACCAAGAAGAGAAATGCCTCTGAAAGACCGCTCAATAACGCTTGCCTTCCTTCCATGCTGACATTTAGCCTGTGAAACAATAAGAAAAGCATCTGCATCTTGCTCCTCCAGCTGGAAACCACATGAGGAATTACAACACTTAGGCATGGTGGTGATGGGTTTACAGTTGGACTCTTGAAGGTCTTTTCCAACCATAATGATTCTATGATTCAACGAATACAAGCTGCTTAGGAGAAGTCCAATGAAAAAATCCCACCTTTTTACAACATTTGTGATGGATTTCCTAATACAAGAACCCTAGATCCACWTATATCTCCTACAGAACCCTCAGAGCCTTCTGACAGCCTTTAACAATCAACTGGCAAAAGCAGTATAGGTGTGAGTACTGACTGACTACCCCTACGTGCAAACTGGCCAGCAGGCCATAGGTGTCACATGCTTGTTGAGCTCACCCTATACTCTTCTTGTCAGACTCAGATTCCACAAAATCAGGAGCAAACACTTCTCCTTGGAAGATGTTGTTGGAAGATCTTCCTGTCTCCAAAAGGGCCAAAATCAGCAACAGGTTTTAAAAGGCAGCAGGGTGGCAATGAAGAAGAGGAGAGACAGGAGCACAGACAGATGCAAAGACAAAGGGTATGACTGCAAGTCCCTAGGAGTGCAAGGACTGGGATATGTGGCAAGTTATAGCTACAAAAGGGATCTGCTCACTCACAATGCTGGGAAGAACCGAGGAAGAAAAACCAATCTGTAGCTTATGGGAGGGGGTGGATTTTGTTATTTCTTACTCAGCTGTTGCTCTAAGTTGGGAAATTCCCCCTTTTCCCCTCTTCCAGATACTTGCACAGTCTCTACAGGAAGGAGAGCAGGCCTGGCTCGAGAAGAGCTAACCCCAGAAAGCCCAACGCAACGTTGGAATTTTGGCAAACTGGCAAAACGGAACAACAGAAGCAAATAAAACTGTTTTGCATGGATTTTTTCATCATCATCATTATTATTATTATTATTATTATTATTTTCCAGCCGAGTCTACATATAAAAATAATTAGTGCCCCCGTAATCACGGGCAAGGCAGGGAGGCACAGACACCGTTGCCAAACCACAAGATCTTGCCTGCATGGTGCTCGAGGAGGGGCAGCTTTCCGAAGGCTATGGATGCAGTCAGGAGACTTGTTATCCCTGGGATCAGCAAATCCCCGCTGCTTGGGGGGAATGGATCACGAAGGGCTGGGAGCTCTCGTGGCCGTCATCGACATCTCAAATCCTTCCGACCCTAGCGGCGAACGCTTTTACATTATTTATATAACATAAAACTAAAGTAATACTTATATTATTTTATATTKGTATAAAATAATGAGGGAGCAAGCGCAGGGAGCACGGGGCACGAGCCACCRGCGAGGGGCTGGCTCTGACAGCGCGAGCGAGGCGCCGGCTCCTGCTGCGCTGCACGGGGGGAGCAGCTCTCGCCGCTGCCTCTGCAAACCAGGCTGAGCTGCCGCCGGGATCGGGGGAGCTCCAGCAGTGCAGCGGACTTGCTGACGTGCCCAGATGAGCGTGCAATTGATACCCATCCTCCCCGGGGCATTTAAAACACGTGCGGCAAGCCTTCCAGCTGTGACTTCCTCCCCACCTTTTGTGCTTTGCTGCAACACACGCCGCTGTGCTTGTGTCCTCCTCGTGCTCTGCGCTCCTCTGGCTCCATCTCTTCCTTCTGCCCTTGCTCCGCCAGGTCTGCAGTGGGTCCCAGGGGTGGGCACTGGGGAACAACTGCCCTTCAGCTGGTGAGGACTGTGACGCCGAGAGGTCATCGGGAATTGAGAGGCCAGCTCGGCGCTGCGGGACCGCTGAGCGCCCGGGATGCTCCTCTGGGTGCAAAGAGCTCCACCGTGAGCTGCATGGGTGCCAGTGCCCAGCGGGAAGCATGGAGCATCCCGCCACTCCACAAAGGGGGCGTCTCACAAAGAGCTCCCCAGGCACAGCCATCCTAGAGCCTTGTAGAGTGAGGGACGTGGAGGAAGCAAACTCTCACCAACAAATGAAATCCTGAGCTGTCACATCGTCCCCGTAACCTTCAACTCCACAACTTCTGCAGCACAGAGATACAGAAGGGCCTGAACGCGAAACGACCACAAGATATAAATTGTCACTGCAGCAAAGGACAAAAAAAATAATAATTGTATTACCGTGAAAATCATGTGCTCACTCTGTAATTCTGATTGGTCATATATTTGCCATCCAATATCATTTGCATACGCGAAATACCAGATATGAAACCAATACTTCACTTTTATGAAGAGGAGAGGGGAAGTAGAAGCAAAGACGGGTTAGCTTGGTAATTCAGGACTTCTTCTTGCCCTGCACAAGTGGATTTCGCTTTAGTTTTGCAGCTCTTGCAACCTTCAGCGAATGGACGAGTGTTTGCTTATATACAAGTTTGGGGGGAATGTTAACCTTTTATGCAACTTCTGCTGTTGGACAAAAAGGATGTGCAAGTGAGCACAAGAGCACTTCACACACTGTAATCCCAGCTGCCTTGGAAATAGTTYAGCTTGGTTCATGTTGTTTGTCACCTTTCAGCCTTAGTCTTTCCTACTACGGTCCTCTTATCTTCCATTTCTGTGCATTTTATGAGTCCCAGCAGCATCTAGACAACCTCAGTAGTCACGGCTGCAGCYGGACGGAGCAGTGTGGCTTTCTGCAGTCCAAGAAACTCATGGACATTTTAAAAACCTGCCTAGATGGAGCCAGACTCTTCTCTGAGAGAAGAACAAGAGACAACGGGCGCAAGGTGCAACACACAAAGCCCTTTCCCCAGGTGAACAGCGCATCCAGGGGGCAGGTCCCCGAGCAAAAAGGGTTCTCCATCCTTGGGCACGGCCCAGACTTGCATGGACTGAGATCTAAGCAACCTGCTGTAGCTGCAACGTTGGCTCTACAGTGAGCTGGGCTTGGACCAGAGTACCTCCAGTGCCTCTAGCCTGGTTCTGTTCTGTAGATCTTTAAATCTTGCCAGCAGTACAATAAAACAACATGAGTGCATGAGGGCTGGGACAGCCAACAAGAAGTGTTCACAGAATGTGCCTAAAATACGGGAATTTCAGGATCACTAGTTTTCCTGTTCCAAGCCGCTATGAGGATCCAGCATATCTCTGTGAGTCTTTTCCCTTGGGACTGTTCAACTTTGAGTGAGCAGAAGGCATTTGCTGGAACAAGGGCATGACCTGGGTTCTGCTGCTTTTCGGCCGAGTGCCTGAACTCACCAAACTAGCAGTTAAATTAAGTGATTCCCTCTTGTTCCGTTAACTAGAAGTTTCCTCCTCTGGAACTGGAAGACCTTTTCTGACAAAATCGTTGTTTGAACTAGCACATTCCTAGAAAAATATTTTAGTTCCAACAAACTGGACATTTTCTGACCAAAACAAATCCACAAAGAAAGAATTAGCTGAACCTTTTCTGACCAGTTCTGGCCTTTATGTAACAAGCTGGATAGAAATCTTTCCTTCTGTTGCATTGGTGAAGAAGTATAGGGCTCCTCCAGCTGGAGAAGTCCTTTGAGAAGATGAATTCCAGGGCTCCGAAAGGCAACCACATTTTTTTTTCTCTGATAAGTCTTCTGTCCTGACCAATTCAGAATGAACTACTGARGCACAACAGAAACTGAAAGTCAGCCTCTACCGCAAGGGATGGACAGGGATGTCCATCTGACATGGATTTGGGATGGGAGCAGAGGGACAGGGTGAAAGGAGGCACCTTCTTCCCTGCACTCCGAGCAGGACACCTTGGATCAGCTCAGGATCCCAAACAGTTAGACTCACCACGTTGAGACACCTCTCAGCCAACCCCAAGACTGATTTTGTATGCTCAATGTACCTTCAATACTCGAAACACTGGGAACACTATTGAGTCTCTCATTCTTATTTTTTTTGGGGAAAAACGATATTCCAAGTCTGACTTCTCTACATGGAGAAGGTCATGGATAGAAGCCTGAGYGGGGAAGTCTCAGAGACCATGAGTGTGCATGGGATTTTGGCAAATTCTTGTGCCTATAATTGGTCAAAAGGCTCATTAAAAGACATCTAAGTGTTTTAGTAAAATAAATATTCATGGCTTGCTGTGACTTGTTATAGCCAATGATTCTTGGACAAGACCCGCTCCTTTCAAACCTCTCATCTCTTCCATAGCGTGTACAAAACAAGTTTCAGGAAAACAGGCAGCTCGTTGAGTTTTTAATTCCCCCTTCAAACTACTCATAGCTTGGAGAGCTTCCAGAGGCCACTGAGTCACAGCCTTCCAGTACTGAAATATGCAGACTGCAAGGATCAAGTTTAGCCTCGAGCCCTCTTTCTTTCTTCTGCAAAAACAGTGGCTTACAGAAGAGTTTAAAATAGATTTCTCCCTGAAAGTAAAGGGGGAAAACGCAGCCTTGATACCTTACAGCTCTTGCAATGGGTATGAATGCCCAGCCTGTTGTCACAGGAGCACAACTGGCTTTTTTTTTTCCTTCCCAAATCACGCTGCAACGGCTAATTTGAAACACAGGGCTCCTGGCAGGGTTCCTCGGGAGGTTTGCTTCGTGGGAAGACACGAGCCGTCCAGGGCCACGCTAACAGATGAGAGAAGAGCACGAGCAACGAAGCAGCGGCTGGAGGGGCGACGATCCGAGGGGGAGCAGAACCAGTTGCGGTGGGACCCCAAGGGCGGCGAGCCTTGGGCCTGGCTCTTTCCTCCCTCCGGTGCCTGCCGTGCCACGGCGGCAGCAAAGTCAGCGGGAAGGAATGYGTGCCTACCCCTCGGAAAAGTGAAAAAATAAAATTAAAAAAAAAAAAGAAAAAGAAAAAAACCCTACCATTTTCTTTTACTTTAGTGTTTGTTTTCTATGTTTTGGTGTTGATCTCTTTTGCTTTATTGTGTTGCACAAGGCTGGCACAGGCAAAAAGCAGATGAAAAGGCAAGAAAGAGAGGATAAACGCGTTCCGCTCAAGTTTAATTTTACTT